TTACTATGTCACCCTTGGTAGAGTGCTGTAGCGTCGTAGCTCACAGCAACCTCCTACTCTTGGGCTTAAGCGATTCTCTTGCCTCAGCCTCCCAAGTAGCTGGGACCACAGGCTCCCGTCACAGTGCCTGACTATGTAGAAGCCTTTTAAAACAATATTGTACTTAGCCTTAGAACAAGTGAATCTTAAAACTAAAAGATGCCTCTCTTACACGGTATCAGGAAGAGGCTTGCCAATAGTGAATTTGGTACACTGTGTTTTATTTTACTGTTTAGTTAGGTGTAAGTAGATACAAGGAAGATAAGTAGTGTTTAATCTATAGCTCTTTCAAATTAACTGTGAATAAATCCATAATCCTAAAAGGTTATACTATTCAAAACAGACATAAAAGACAACAGGGATGTTTTAAGGTTTCTCATAGATTTTGGATTTTGTTTTTCCTTTTTATTTTCCCGAGCCTACTAAGGAGCATCTTAATTCCTCAGTAATTAGGCAATATGTATATTACTATACATAGTAATTATTGTCAGATTTTCTTATTATTGTCAGATTTCCTTCAAATAAGTAAAAAATCAACTTGCTCATACTTTCTTTTCTTCCCACTGTCATTAGATATTGAGATGTAAACATTTATAAGATGAGGTGCATCAAAGTTTTGTCAAAAGCAGTTAAGTTCTCAGTGGCTTTAAAGATTATCCCTTACTGATCAATCAGAACCATCAATTGTAGGTAAATAACAGTTCCCTGGGCTCGGTGCCTGTGGCTCAAGGGGCTGAGGCGCCGGCCACATACACCTAAGGTGGTGAGTTCGAGTCCAGCCTGGGCCCGCCAAATAACAATGACAGCTGCAACCAAAAAATAGCCGGGAATTTGTGGCGGGCAGCTGTGGTCCCAGCTACTTGGGAGGCTGAGGCAGGAGACTCGCTTGGGCCCAGGAGTTGGAGGTTGCTGTGAGCTGTGATGCCATGGCACTCTACCCAGGGGGACAGCTTGAGGCTCTGTATAAAAAAAAATAATAATAAGGGAATTATATATCCTGAAAATTTTTTGTGGAAATGACAACCATGATGAGTTTTAGTGTTGGCCTATGGTATCTATCCATGGGTTCTGCATCTGTGGATTTAACCAGCTGTGAATTGAACATATTCAGGAAAAAGGAAAGGTGGTGCATCTATACTGAACATGGGTAGACTTTTTTTCTTGTGATTATTCTCTAAATAATACAGTATAACAATGTAGCATTTACTTTGTTTTAGGTATGATAATTTACCTAGAGGTAATTGAAAGTATACAGGAACCAGTCCCCTACAGACACCAAAGGAAAACATCTGCACCAAATCATAAGATAGAAGGAAAATGTAACTTTTACTCTGCTTTTCTAGTACAAATAATCTTCTACTGTGTCGTCATTAGTGTATCAAGAAAAGTGTTTTTAATTTTAATTTCTTTTTCTTTGTAAGGAATTAAAGATTTCATTTTGCTGTGTGGCCGAATTTTCTTACTACTTGCTCTTCTTACTTTAATTATTTCTGTGATGACTTCATGGCTTAACTCATTTAAACCTTCCGAAGTTTATCTGAAAGGTAAGTTTATTGTTTATACTACCCTTTTATACTT